TAATGCCAGAAACCAAGCCGTGTTTCTCCTAGCTTTTGATGGGCTGTATCCCCATGGGGCGCAGGGGCTCCTTCTGTCTGTTTATCTCTGCATCTCCAGCATCTAAGAAATGCCTTTCACAAGGCAGGATAAGCTAGTGTGATCACAGTGCGTGAAATAACAACTACTTAGTGTATCGCTAGATGGTGGCAAGGGACAATGTCCTCCAGTTGCCAGTGACTTACTTTTTATACTGAGCTTTACTACGTACTTATCATTCTAAGCTAAGGAATTCAGGATTCAAAATCATATCTCTTTCTTTCCAGACGGGTTCTTGTTATATAATCCTGGCTGATTACATGCCAACTATGTAGTCCAGGCTGTCCTTGAAGTTATGGCAATCCTCCCGCTTCAGCATCCCAAAGTGCTGGGTTTACAACCATGTGCTACCTTGCCTGGCTAAACTTATCTTGAGAATCAGACAATTATTTTGTCATGACATAGGTTGTTCTTTTTTTATAGCTTCATAAGGTTTTCGCTCAAAGTAAATAGACTTACTTCCCAAGAACTTACTATGAAAGCCCCGAGTGATCACAGGATGCTTTGCCGCCCTGTTCCTGCCTGCCCGCGTGCTAACTGGCTCTGAGATTGGTACATCGCACAGAGTTTTGATTCTGAAGACCTGGAGAGGGCAAAGAACCACCTCAGTTCAGTTCAGCTGTGCTCCTTCATAATGACTGTGACCTCGGAAAGCAGTTCGTCAGGAAAAGCTCGTGACTTAGCCGTTTGACCGCCTCAGCAGCTCACTGTATTTAAAGCAATCAGCTTGCTTTGTGTGTTCTTTGTTTACTGCATTCCTCTTTCTCTCCAGCGCTGGGAGCGGAACTTAGCGACTCGCATATTCTAGGCAAGCTTTCCTACCACCGGGCTCTCCCCTCAGCTCTGCTAGTGATAGACAGGATGTCGTGGTAGACAGTACACCTAAATCAAATGTGCCGCCAGTGTTTGCATGCCGACCGCTCCAGTGTTTCCTTTGCGCTTCTACGCCGCCAGTGTAACTTCCCATGTTTTACCGATTTCTTTCTCTTTCTTTCTTTCTTTCTTTCTTTCTTTCTTTCTTTCTTTCTTTCTTTCTTTCTTTCTCTCTCTCTCTCTTTCTTTCTTTCTTTTTTAAAAAAAACTATTTCTCTTTTATGTATATATGTGTGTGTTCCTGTATGGGTCAGTGTACAGCACTTGTGTGCAGATGTCCCCAGAGGCTAGAAGAGAGAGCATCGGGTTTACTGGCTAGAGTTACATTACAGGCCATTGTGAGCTCTCCTGTGTGGGTGGTAGGAACCAAACAGGGGCCCTCTGCAAATGTTCTTAACTGCTGAGCCGTCTCTCCAGCCTGTTTTATCCATTTTTGTTTATGATGAAGGGGTGCTGGGCCTTGTATTCTCTAAGGCCGAGCTCAAGCTTTTCCAAACAGCAGGATTTATGGTCTCCTATAAAATCCTTCACAAATGAAGAAGAACCTGACACATGAAAGCGGGATTAGAGTTAAAATAAACTCAACTTGGCATGCCAGGTCTTCTGAGAACAATAACCCTGTCTTTTAGGACACCTGCCGACACTGTTGCAAGAGAAACTCCATAGGTCAGGGTCACTGTTATGTTTACCCTGTGTCCCCAGTTCTACGCAGGGCCTGGCATGCAATAGGGGCCACTCTGTCTGTGTGTGAGAGAGGCAGGGAGGGAGTCAGAGATAGAGACAGGGATAGGGAGGCAGAGAGACACACATAGAGAGAATTAATAACATTTTACCACCTGAAACAGCTGGTAAGGAAAAAAGTTGCACATTGAGGCAGAATTCACTGAACACTGCACAACCAGGGGCTATGCTAAAATCACGCCAAGAGGTCATTATACACAGGCATGAAACTGTGTGCACCTTATTTATCAGAAAACTGTTTAGACATTTCCTTGAAGTCTACTGGTAGTTTTCACAACTGCAATGAGCATTAGAATTTCCAGCTGGGTGGTGGTGGCACATGCCTTTAATCCCAGCACTTGGAAGGTAGAGGCGGGAGGACCTCTGTGAATTCGAGGCTGTCCTGGTCGACAAGAGTTAGTTCCAAGGACAGTTAGGGCTCTTACACAGAGAAACCCTGTCTTGAAGAAAAAAAGAAAAAGAAAGAAAAAAAAATTCAGCTTCAGATTAGATCTGCTAGATGCTGTTTGTGAGTACACAACAGCAAATGGGACTTCTCAGAAGGAAAAGATACAACCCATGCATAACAAAGAACAGGGTTGACATCTGAATCTTCAAGTCTCCATGGTCCTGTGTGCCTGTCTCTGTGTGTTTGCATCTTCCAGTCCCCACTGTCCTGTGTACCTGTCTCTGTGTGTTTGCATCTTCCAGCCTTCACTGTCCCGGGTGTATGTATCCGTATGTGTGCTCAGGTGCTTGACGTTGGAAGGTGTTACAAGTGAGGGAGTAAAACAGAAAAGGACAGGGTAAGTGACATCAAGATAAACAGCAGCCGGGCCCCAGAGGAAGAGTTCGCACTGCTCTGACTGTGGATAAGAAGACCAGCCTGCGGGAAGCTTCCCAAGGCTATGAAAGTGATTTTCCCTTCCCAGTTTGAGACCTCTGTATTTTCACAGAATTACAGACTCATGGGAAGTTGTAAAGAATACTAAGGGGCCACACATGGCTTCTCCTGTCTTGCTTTTGTCTGCTGTGATTTATGGAACAGGCGACTCTGGAGGGCTGCTTTGTTTAGATATGAGATTGTTGTTTCCTCAGTTATTCTGTGGTGATGGATGCCCAAGGGATAGGCTCTTTAAGAGCCATTGAGAAGAAGGTATGTCATTTTATAAAAGCAATAGAAATATATTTAATGTGCACAAAGCATTAGGAAATCTCAATAGATTCTGAGAAAACATACCCCGCCGTGTAGAAACGGATGCTAATGATTACGGTCATAAACTACACAATAAAGATCTGTGGGCTCTGTTAGGGAGGCCAAAGCTATCAGGTGTGGAGTCCAGAGCAGAAGTTAGAAAGGACTTGAATGTTCATCGTTAGGAAATTAGTCGACGGAGTTGTTCTGTAGAATAACTTTATGTGGTCGAATTCCAAGCATGTACTAAGTCATGATTTTTATGTGTGTGTACACTGCATGTAGGTATGTGTCTAGAGACATATATGTATGTACATTTATCTATCTTTGTCCTTTCTTCTGCCTCTCTGACCGATACTGAGAAACAGCGAGTACTGTGGTCTGGTGCCATAGTCTGCTTACTACATTGGCTTCTCTTTCTTCCAGGTGAGGATCTCTTGCCTTTAAATATCTATCCAATGCTGATGGCTTGAGATTGACACCTCCAATGCTCTTCCTTCTTCTAATCACAGACTCTTACATCCAGTTGACATTGTCCCATGGATTTCAAACAGTTTACAATAGTATACTGACCTATTGCCTTCCAAGATCCTCTCCACTCCCAAGGATCCCTTACACGAGCCAGCTTTTGCCCACCTTCTTGTCTTCACTCTCTTCACCTGGCTCTAAACGATAAGATCTTTGTTCTGTTTTTTAGCACGTCAAGTTCACCCTCACTCAGGAACTCCACCTTTGACGTTCCCTGTTCTGGGAATGCTCTTCCTTTGCTACTCTATCTCAAGTGTCCTCTCTTCGGAAAAGTCTCTCTGCTCAATGCACTCAAGTGGCCTTCAGCCCTCAGCAGCCCTCTCCACCTCATTCTGAGCAGTATAACACATATTTCACCACCGGTCTCCCCATTAGAATAGAATCTTCATGAGAGTAGTGAACCTTCCTATCTTGTTAATACCTAAAGCCAGAATATCTTTAAAGAGTTTTTGGAATACATAAAAAAATGCCCGATTAATATTTGTGTCAAACAGGGAGCTCAGGTGTAACTTGGTAGTAGAGTGCTTGCCCTGGAGAAGTAGGGCCGTGCGTTCAATTCCCAGCACAGAACAAAAGATTACACTGGATAAAGTTTGGGAGGATGCATAGCCGTTTATAGTGCAAGTGGTATAAGAGGTAAATCATGGCTTTGTATTGACTTTTCTGCCAAGAAGCGTTTTAGTCTTTATTTGAAGTAAAGTACATCTTAATTACAAGTAATGATTGGTAAAGATTGTTTTCTCAAAATAAGCTATGGCTACCTGGAAGATGAGGTCCTGAGAAGTGTTCTTTTTTGATGCTTGTAGTGATATTTCATTTATATTTTAATAGATAAAGCTTGCCTGAAGATCAGAAAATTAAAACAGTCAGCCACTGACTCTTACCTCAACCTCTGTCTGAAAATGGTGATCCTGCCTCCAGGAAACCTCAGACTGAGACTGAAACTGAGAGCTGTGGCTACTGGGATTGGAGGTATGTTTCATTGCTGCCTGGTCTGTAAGGCCGGCCAGTGTGGATGTTTTACTTTTCTGATCTTTAGACAAGCTTTAGTTATTAAAATACAAATGAAATGCCACTACAGATGACGGCAGGTAAGTAACACGTCCTAGTCCACACAAAACACCTGTGGGTTTGTAAAAACACCAAGCAAATAAACAAGAAAATTGTCTCACCCAGTTCTCATTCTTTTGGACTGGTATATTCCTGGAAAATTATCTAAATTAATTTCCCCGCAAGGGAACAACATAAACAACCACTATCATGAGGAAAAGCTTCTGTTTGTTTCAGTTTCCATCACACTCGGTGTCTTTAACAGATGTGCACATCTGTAGGGTGCTTAAGTCTGCCTTTTTCCACACGCAGAAGCACGATGCTAGCTGTGTCTCTGGGCCTGAATGTTATGTCAGCACACGAGGGACAGACCTCCAGCTTATCGAGTATTGCAGTGCTCTGCTTGTTTTGGAGCCTCTTCTGATACTGTGGACTTAGTTCAAGGCCCGGTGATACTATTTTTTCTGTTTTCTAATAGGAGGACAAATAGTGAGTTATTTGCTTTGGTCACTGAAGTTCAAGCTATTGAATCATGGTCCTATGCATATAAAAAGTCTAGGTTGAGCCTCTGCACAGGGGCAGTCTTACCTGGCTAAGCACAGACTCTCCCCTTGGGACTTTTTCCTGCTTTGCAAAATGATGACCATCTCTTTGATTTGGGGGCTTGCTGTGGTGTGCGTCATATGGGTTATCTTTGGCATAAGGAGAAGGTATGGAAAGGATTTTTCTTTAATTTTCTTTTTAGCTTATTTCTAGCATTCTTTACCTTCACTATTACACAGTTTTAAAAATAGTACTAGTTCATTAGTATCTTTTATTTCAAAATTAAGGCCTGACTTCTTTGGCTAACCCTGAAAAGATGTAGACAGTTTCCTTTTGAATATTTGTATACACCGATGGTGATGCAGATCTTGTTAAACATAACTAAAAAAAACGTATAAATGCATGTTTGTGTGTGCATGTGTGGAGCAAACCTGAGCTGGGAAGGGTGCATTGGCAAGGGTGAAATCTGGAAGGTTCTTTCTGTCACACGAACTGAATAGCTGCACTTGCTGAGCATGTGTGCATATGAGCTTTCTGTTACGTCAGCATTAAAATACAGGAATACCCAGGCACATCTTCAGCGAGGTAGACTGCTGTCTGCTCTCTTACTTTTAAAAACTTCTTTGCCCTTTGAGTTATTATAATTCATGCCTGATAGTTTCCAGTTTTAATTAAGCAGCTTATCTTAATGCTAAGACAGGAAAAATCAATTTAGTTATCCTAACAAAAAACAACTAGCTTTTTGTTGGAAAATAATTAAGTTTTTAGTATCTAATAAAACACTTTTAAGAGAGCCGGGCAATGGTGGCACACACCTTTAATCCCAGCACTTGGGAGGCAGAGGCAGGAGGATCTCTGTGAGTTCAAGGCCAGCATGGTCTACAAGAGCTAGTGCCAGGACAGGCTCCAAAGCTTCAGAGAAATCCTGTCTCAAAAAACCAAATCAAACTAAACCAAAATAAAACATTTAAAGAGCTAAAGATTAGTGAATTATAACTGATGATCTACCAATGCTTACTCCTCCCAACTTGATTTTTTATAATAATCTAATTTTTCAAATGGGATTCCTGTTCTCTTCAAATATCATCACAGAATAATAATCTCCTTCTTTTTAGAGTTGGGAATCAAATGGAAGGTTCCACTTGTGCTAGGCAAGAGCTCTACCACTGAGCCGCACCTCCAGACACCAGAATGCCAGCATTTTTAAACTATGAAGATTTTAAAAACTTCAGCTCTGTAGCCTTTTCTGTTATTTGGGGTTTCACAAACAGGAAAAAAAATGAAACATTTTAGGCATATGGGCAAATGATTCATTGAGCAGGTCTAAGCACTAGACGGTAGCTTAGTTTCTACAGTGAGATCAATAATCTTGTTGGCTCTGCTGACACTTTTGGCTCTGTGTTGGGAAAAGCAGTCAGACATAGACATAGTAAACCATCTAAGGAGGACTTGATGAGCGGACATATGTATGTGTGGTGGTAGACAGACCGAGAGATGGGCTGGCGGATGGATTGATGGGTAGGCAGCTTTGGTAATCACCTTCACCAATATCTTAGTAGGCTAAAAAGCCCACTGTTTTAGTAAAAGAGGTATCTGCAAACTGTAGTTACGAAGCTTGAAATTATTATGAAAGCCTGGCTTTCATAAAAGTGCTAACCATGTCGTTTTCCAAACCCCTCAAATCTGTCTTCCAGGAAAGCAGGTGAGCCTCCTCTGGAGAACGGGTTGATCCCGTACTTGGGTTGCGCTCTGAAATTCGGGTCCAATCCTCTCGAGTTTCTGAGAGCAAATCAAAGGAAGCACGGCCATGTTTTTACCTGCAAACTAATGGGGAGATACGTCCACTTCGTCACCAACTCCTCGTCATACCCTAAGGTGTTAAGTCATGGAAAATATTTTGATTGGAAAAAATTCCATTACACGACTTCTGCGAAGGTAACTAGTTTATACAGATTCTGTGTGTTTCCTAGCCTGCTAATGTACTCGTTTATTTAGTTATTCTGATGTTATAGATTGTAGGATAGAGGGAACATACAATCAGGAAGTCTCAGTACTAAGTATTAAAAATTCAAGGTAGATGTAAAATTGTCATTGATTATGACATATACAAATTGATCACTTTGTAAGCACTTCGTGAGCCAGATGACACTGTATATGAATAAGAAAGGTACAGATTGCTAACATCAGTGTTGTCTATACAACACTCAGGGTAGAATGCTGGCAAACTTAACATTCATCATGCCTATTACCACATCCATGCCCACAAATGCTTCGGTCGTTAAGAAGAGGGTTGTATATTTAAGCATCATTTAGATATTATCAAGAATCTCTCTTCTAGAGAAAACAACACTTACTGAATTTTTGAAATAAAATACTAGACATATCTGTCATTACGTAAATTAAATGCAATTACAGAGACTAAAAAGGTAAAGAAAGAATCAGTGACTCTTTGGGCTGACGAGGGAGGGGGACTTGATTGGGGGAGGGGGAGGGAAAGGGGAGGCGGCGGTGGGGAAGAGACAGAAATCTTTAATAAATAAACAAATAAATAAAAATTAAAAAAAAAAGAATCAGTATCACGTTAATTTGACATCAAAGTTGGTGGGACAGTCTAGAGAAACTTCCCTGAAAAGCTGGGGTCTAAACTCCACCTAAAGAAAGAGTATGTCCTGGCCTGCCTTTCGATGTGCTGTGAAATCACCTATGGGAAACCCAGGCGGAGGGGTATGAACACCTTCAGTCTGTCCTTCAGCCGTCTCCTATCCCTGGCAAGCGCAGGTTCAGCCCCTCTTTTTTTCACGGCTTTTCTTTTCTACCAGGCATTTGGACACAGAAGCATTGACCCAAGTGATGGAAATACCACGGAAAACATAAACAACACTTTCGCCAAAACCCTCCAGGGAGACGCTTTGCACTCACTCTCTGAAGTCATGATGCAAAACCTCCAATTGACCTTGAGGCCTCCTGGTCTTCCTAAATCAGAGAGTGCTGTCTGGGTCACCGAAGGGATGTACGCCTTCTGCTACCGAGTGATGTTTGAAGCCGGATATCTAACTCTGTTTGGTAGAGATACTTCAAAGCCAGATGCACAAAGAGCTCTTATTCTCAACAACCTTGACAACTTCAAGCAATTTGACCAAGTCTTTCCCGCGCTGGTGGCAGGCCTCCCTATTCGCTTGTTCAGGATGGCACATAAGGCCCGGGAAAAACTGGCTGAGGGCTTGAAGCATAAGAACCTCTCTAAGAGGGAACAGGTCTCTGAACTGATCAGTCTGCGCATGTTTCTCAATGACACTCTCTCCACCTTTGATGACGCAGAGAAGGCCAAGACGCACCTCGCTATCCTCTGGGCATCTCAAGCAAACACCATTCCTGCAACCTTCTGGAGCCTGTTTCAGATGATCAGGTGACTAGCAACTTAAGTGTTTTCATTACTCAAAGTGACGTAAATTACAATTTTAACTAAGAGCCCCCAAAGACTAGCAGAGCTTTCTTTGCTAACAGTCAAGAGTGTGATACTCAGTGCCCCTGTTAACAAATGTGCGTAACAGAAGCAGCATTTTGTAGGAACACAGTCCCACGGAAAGGGATGTTCCAGAAGCCACAGAACTTGGATGGCTGGCACTTGTCAATACAGGCCCCCTGGTCCAGTCTTGCTCTTAATCTCCTAGAGTTCCTCTTAATGTCAAATTCAGTCCATGACTGCAGTCTTCATCGTGATAAAAGCATTTTAAATGATGACAGGCTTGCAGATGTGATGAGGCAGAGATCATGCCTTACTAATTTTGAACATCCCTATTTTCACATCAATTTCAAATCATCTATGAACTGCAGCCGTATTTTAAGTTAAAGGACTACTGTTGGCCCAACATTCCCCAGGTTCAGTTTACTGTAATCAGGTGAAGGAGATTTCAAACGGCCTCCAGCAAACTTCCACGTACTGAATGGAAGTGTCCTTTATCAGCTCAAAGATAACAACATAAATAGCAAAACATTAATGTTCTGAAGCCATTTTAAGAGCAATTTGGAATTCTACTTGGCAACTAATTGTAATTGTATGTTAGATGCAACATTTCTTCTGAATTACTATAGTCATCGCATGAATGTCTCACCCTTACTAGAGCCACTGATTTATAGAGAGCTCACCAAAGCTTTGCGTTTACATAGCAACACCCCTTTAATGCCCCTTCCTGAGTCCCAGGATATGAATCCGTTCAGAATCCAGTATAAGTAAAGGACAATGCCCCTTTGCTTACTCATTAAAAGAAAAGGAGTTCTTACCTACTTGCTGATCTCTGAATGATTTCCATACGTCCTTTTTCACAGGAGTCCTGAAGCATTGAAAGCAGCCTCTGAAGAAGTGAACGGAGCATTGCAGAGCGCTGGCCAAAATCCCAGCTGTGAAGGGAACACTATTTATTTGGATCAAATGCAGCTGAACGACCTGCCGGTCCTAGGTGTGTTTTCTACTCTACCCCTCATTCATGTGTCACCGGTAACAGTGCTCACCACACACTGTATTATGTTCTCAATACTACGCCAAGTATCTTACAACCCCACAACGTCTGCTAACTAGGGAATTTCCACTTTTATCTAACAAGTGAGGAACTGAGACCCACAGGGTGGGATGACAACTGGATCACAGACAGGGTGGAACAGTGGCAACATGGGCATGGGACTTGTGAGACTCAGCTGTTCCACGTCCTTTGCCTCCTTGATAGTCTTTGCCTCCATAAAGTTGGGGTTTTTAAGAAAGCTTGGAACTAAGTGTGAACAAGGTACCATCAAGAAAGCATGATTGGCTTGTGGGGTGGGGTCAAGGCTTTTCTTTCCCTGTCTCTGTATTTTCTAGAATACAGAAGTGCCGCGTGTTTATAATAAAACAACCTTCTTTTTAAGTTTTCTTCTGTAAAGGACAGAAGCCCGTGTGTACTTCGAGGACAATTTAGCTTCTCTGAAGCGAAAGAGCTTAGATCCAGCACTGCCTGCTGCCTGGTTTGGGGGGGGGGGTGGGCTTGTCACTTTGCTTTGGACACCTCCCTTCTCTCACTCGTAAAGAAAAGGCTAAGCGCGTGTGGTTGCAGACACAGTTGTGGCGTGAAGCCTGGGAGCAAGGCAGCTGACAGCTCAAGGCTGAAAGGCACAGGGAAACTCTCTGAGACTTCAGCAGCTCTGAGGTCTATTCCGTTCCTGCACTCCTTTACACCTAGAAGCAGGGTGCCATTGCACACCACCAGATAATGGATGGGATCTCCTAAGCACGGAGTGGTAGACTCATGAAATGCTTGGAAAGGCATTTCTCTATCGAGATGTTTCATTCCCAATAGGGTCAACAATAATTCACGCAAAATTGATTACTAGTTTTTTTCAACTTTATCAGCTGCTTAGGGTCCTACAGAAATAAGATTAGCGTTCTATAAAATGAGAGATGTTTATCTAGTTCCCATTGATGGTGAGGAACATTGTATTGTATCAAAAGATTATTAACTTGGGTCAACGGTTCTCAACCTTTCTAATGTTGCAACTCTTTAATAGAGTTCCTCATGTTGTGGTGACCCCCCAATCATAAAATTATTTTCATTGCTATTTCATAACTGTAATTTTGCTATTGTTATGAATAATAATGTAAATATCTGTGTTTTCTGATCGTCGTAGGCGACCCCTGTGAAAGGGTCGTTCAACAACCCCCCAATTGGGTCATGACCCACAGGGTGAGAACCAATGGCTTCGATGCTTAGATTGAAAATAAATTTCAGAACAGCTGAGTCACGAAGAACATCACAGTGGCAACAGAAGCAGCTTAGGAAGCTTTCACTTGTTAGCCTGTATTTGTTCATTTTGTATATTGGTTGTTAGAAGTGTTTCAGACTTCATGTTATGTAGTTTTTAAATGCATAAATCCAGGGCTGGAGAAATGGCCCAGTGGTTAAGAGCACTTGCTGCCTTTTCAGAAGACCCAGGTTTGACCCACAGCACCCACATGGTGGCTCACAACCATCCTAAGTCCGGTTCCAAAGGATCTGATGATGCCTTCTTCTGACCTCTGTAGACATCAGTCATCTGCATGTTGCACACACACGTACATGCAGCAAAACACCCATCAACGTAAAAAGAAATTAACTCGGAAATATTTTTAATATGCAAATTCTTCTCTCCTCCCTGTCATTTCCCCTGCTCCACCCTCTTCCCTTTCCTCCTCTCTTGCTCTTTTATTTGACAATATGTAGACAGCATCATCAAAGAGGCGCTGAGACTGTCTAGTGCGTCCTTGAATATCCGGACTGCTAAGGAGGATTTCACTTTACACCTGGAAGATGGTTCCTATAGCATCCGAAAAGATGACATCATAGCTCTTTACCCGCAGCTAATGCATTTGGATCCTGAAATCTACCCAGATCCTCTGGTAAGTTTCTGTATTGAGGTGACAGCCACCCAGGTCTGAATGAGGAATGGATTTCTAATTCCAGCTTTGATTTGCTCATTGAAGCCATAGGGATTGGCCCCTTCATTAGAGCAAAGACTCATTTGTTTTGGAAACTTTGGGTAGAGGAAAGAGTTTTGAACGTTTAGCCTGAACAGTTTTCATTTCATGCTTTCTGCTACATTATGTTCTCAGCCATAGCAAAGCTACCACCTTTCTTTTTCCTTAAAAAGGACCCTCTCCCAAATCCACACTGATGGAGGGTAATGCATTTGACTTGGTTCTTTTAGTATCTTTTTCGAATCCTTTGCTTCTTTTGCCTAACTAAAGAATGAGTGCCCAGGGCTGGAGAGACGGCTCAGAAGTTAAGAGCATTGCCTGCTCTTCCAAAGGTCCTGAGTTCAATTCCCGGCAACCACATGGTGGCTCACAGCCATCTGTAATGAGGTCTGGTGCCCTCTTCTGGCCTGCAGACATACACACAAACAGAATATTGTATACATAATAAATAATAAAGAAATATTAAAAAAAGATGTAAAAAAAAGAAAAAAAAAGAACAAGTGCCCAGGCAGAACAGAAGGGATCTAGAGCTTCTGGGCCACCAACTCTTGATAAGGTCTTTCCAGGATTACCTTGATCAAGGCTGGGTGTGTGTTAACTCACAGAGGACAGAGTTATTAGAAGAAAATTACTCTTTGGTCAAGAATGAGACAAATTTCTATCAAAATAGCTCATTGGCTTCTTGTGTACGTATTGCAGACTTTTAAATATGACCGATACCTTGACGAGAACGGGAAGGCAAAGACCTCCTTCTACAGCAATGGGAGCAAACTGAAGTGTTTCTACATGCCATTTGGATCTGGAGCTACAATATGCCCTGGAAGACTATTTGCTGTCCAAGAGATCAAGCAATTTTTGATTCTGATGCTTTCGTGCTTTGAACTGGAACTTGTAGAGAGCCCTGTCCAGTGTCCCCCTCTCGATCAGTCCAGGGCAGGCTTGGGAATTCTGCCACCATTACATGATATTGAGTTTAAATACAAACTGAAACATTTGTGACCTGTGGTTGGAAGAAGAGGACCCTGGATGATGTTACTGGACTCTAGAGAGTCTCACTAAACAGGCCCTTGGGACAAATGCTCACCGATGCTTCCCAGGGACTGACTGTATCTGTGAAAAGAACTGGTACTCAGGGTACCATTCTCTGTTCTTGCTGCCTGGTTTCTGAGTGCTCAGATAGCTGAGGCCTGAGTTTCATCACTCTCAGAAGCAATGTCTTTTGTTTTTATTTTCAAAATGAAGATATTACAATTAGCAGGATTTTTCCTAAGGAAATTGCATATTTAATAATTTCGTAAAATATATTTTTATGAAAACTATTGATTAATTATGAAAAGGCTTCAAATTCACGTTTTAGTGAAATTGTTATTTTTCATGAGTAGGTTCTTCAGGTGTGAGCACATATTATAAAAAGGTTTTAAGGGATCACAGCATACTTTGCTTAAAGGAAAAAAAAAAGATTATCCAGCCTTTCCTCTGCCTAATGGTGAGAGCTTTGACAACAATGCTACCGTTCTGGAGACACTGTGGGAGTATAGCACTTTCCTGTCATGTTTCAAGAGGTTGTTGCTGGAAATCCTCATTCCGGTGTTTCAACTGCCTATCTCTCTTCTTTTTTCATCATTCACACCAATGAGAAGAGCGATTCTCAGAGATTAAAAAGCACTTCCCCAGAACCCACCGCTGATTCCTTTATATTTCCTCAGAACCTCACCTCTGTCACCTTTAAGCCTTTCCAGCACTGGAGAGGCAGAGGCAGAGGCAGAGGCAGAGGCAGAGGCAGAGGCAGAGGCAGAGGCAGAGGCAGAGGCAGAGGCAGAGGCAGAGGCAGAGGCAGAGGCAGAGGCAGAGGCAGAGGCAGAGGCAGAGGCAGAGGCAGAGGCAGAGGCAGAGGCAGAGATTTCTGGGAGTTTGATGTCAGCCTGGTTCACAGAGTGAGTTCCAGGCAAGCCAGGGCTACAGAATAAGACCTTGTCTCACTGAAAAATAAATAAATAATATAATTAATAAAGTCAATTCTATGTTATAATTGATTATGAATTAATGTAAATGAGATTTAAAATCAACTCTAAGGAAATGACCATTCAAAATGGTCTATTTTAGCTATTTAACTAAAATGTGCAAATTGACATTATATGTTCTTTTAAGATGTCATGTTTTATCTCTAAATGCCTCGTAGATGAAGATCAACAATAGTGTTTAAATACCGAGTGCAATAACGCATTGTAATGTTCTTTAAGAGTGTTATTAGCTGTGCCATTTTTACTGACATACATACATATATTTTTATACAAATTATATTTATCTTTTTCCTTGTACTATAACTGTAAGAAAAAAAATTGTAACATCTAGTAATTTAAAAACTATCCACCTTTCAGAATTGAACATGTTTTTGTTTTAAACTTTGCAAAAGAAAGTTTAAATTATTCATCTACTGATAAGTTAAAAAATTTTATCTGATTTATTTAAAATATTCACAATTTCAAGAAACCCAAAAATTTCAAAATAATCATTTACTTAAAAGTCTCCCCAGGATTACAGAAAATCCAATGAAATGTTTTTGTGTGGGGGACTGAGCCGTGGTCCAGTGGATGCTCAGCAGGTCCTCCAATAGTGAGCTGCATCTGTAAGACTCCTAGAACTTTTAAAATCTTATCACTAAACATTAGCTTGGAGCTATTACCTAGGCAGGATATTTTCCTTTCCTTTACGTTTGACAGAGTCCGACAGCGAGGCAGCTGGCTGGAGCTCTCCGCATAGCTTGAGCAGGCTTTGACCTCACTCAACTCTTGCTTTTCCCTTTCTAGGAAGTTATTTTCCATATCAAGAAAATTAAATTCTTTAGATGAGGCATAGGAATAACAAAATTCTGTTATATACTAATCTACATTAAATTGAATTTCTAATGTGTTTTTCAAGTAACTTTGATGAGTCCTTGAATTGAATGCACCTTTATACCTTTCCATGGCTTTTCAAGAGAGTGTTTTCCGTGCACAAAACGATGGGTGTCATAGTGATGTCTTGGTTCCAGGTCTTTCGTCCTGTGCAGTGATGGCTGACAATTGGTAGCCGATGAACCAAAGGTACTCTTTCTGCTTTTGTGCGGCCTAAGTGTTAAGAATGTTTTTACATTTTAAATGCTTAGAAGAAAAGCAAAAGAGACCATTTTGTGTCATATATGAAGTGTGTAAAATGCAGACTGGCACACCAATGAGTAAAGTTTTATTGGGATATCATATGCCTACTTCTTTGCATTATGTGTGATTCCTTTCTTTGTGTGTGTATGTGTGTGTGTGTGTGGTAAGCATTTGTGTAGAGGCATGTGTGTGGTGAAGGCATGTACACACATGTGTGCAAGTGTGTGACAGCCAGAGATGGATGTTGAGTGTTTTTCTTGTCACTCCCCACCTTATACGAGGCAGAGTTCCTCCCTTGAACCAGAGTTCAATGTGTAGGTTAGCATAGCTAGCCAACTACCCAGAGCCCATCTCTGCCTCCTGAGCACCTGATTTGCCGGTAGTAGCCACGCCCTCTTGGCATTTACGTGGGTGCCGGTTTGTGTGTTGGTGCTTTGCCTACTGGTCTAGTGTCCATAGCTTCTTGCTGTGAAACTGAAAAGCCAGGAAGCTGCAGCATAGACAAGAAGGACAGAAAACTTGGCACTTCAAAAATCAGTTTCTTTATAGAAAAAACAAACAAACAAAAACAACAACAAAACAAGATAAACGTCAAAAAAAAAAAGAACAAAGTCAAAAACCCCCAAGTATTTACCAGCTCTAACTGTATAACAAACCCCTATATGCTACTTTTAATTTATTAACTTAAAAATGTGCCAGTTTCTGGAAAAATTTAAAGAACATGAGGGGAATTCATTTAAAAAAACTGTGGATACAGTTTATATCCTAATTTAAGAACTAAAGACTACACTATTCAATTTAGAGAAAAATTTTTATTTGACAAAGGTATCTACATAAAAAATAATTCTATAATTGAATATGTATGTGTTAAAATATCTTAATAAATCCTGTTTTATACCAACTAAATATAATTAATAATGATATTATGATAGCCTAATATAAGGCAGAATGGGCAAGAGAAAAAGGAACGTGAAGCTTTCTGAGGTCTCCTGGGATCCAGTGTAGACTCCACATGTGTATGTGACACGTGACATCTCAGTCTCCACACTGAGGCTCAGGTTCCTGTCACCTCTGTGTTTCAACAAGAGAAGGAGACTTTGGGAAGGGAAGTCATTGGTCCTCTGTCCCAGTGTAATGTACAAATGGCAGAGCTGTGGGAGTTAGAACCCAGCTTGCTCTGCTTCAGAGTCAAGATCTGCAGGAGGCCCAGATGGCAGACTGTCTTAATTCCTATCAGTGAAAAGATAAGCCACAATAAGCACAGTCTGTGAGGCCTTTCTTGTCCCCAGGTCTCCACTGGCAGGGAACATCACTCGGTCAGAGAGTATGGGCCCTCCAGCCTAGGCTTAGCTGGTCAAGGGGGCCAGGGAGACTGTGAGCGCTCTGAGAACCAAGACGGGCTTCCACAAATCAGCTTTGTCTTATCCTCACCTCACCTCAGACAATAAGGTGTCTCTTCGACCACTCACAGAACAGCATGAGTGGATTCTTGTGCCGTCTTGTGATGCTCTTGGGGTTGTGGTTATACGTCTTGAAGGCAGGAAAATGGAAGCTCTAGCTTTGGTCTCAGCAATGGATGGCATTTGTAATGGAGCTTCCCTCCAGAGCTTTCTCCATCTGTACGAATTGTTAGCAATTCCATCCCACTCTATCGTGAGATGGCAGCAGTGCAACTTTTGAGACCTTCTCAGCCATCTACAGTCATGTAGTTCAGATCTCGCCTTAGTTAGAAGCTGCTGTTCAGTGAGCAGAAAAGTGATTTTGCTTAAAAATTTTCATAGTGCAAAAATAGGGCATGTGGGGCTCTCAAAACCACGTATTAGCCCATGACATGGTATTTGCACTGATCTAACTGTGCATTGCCCATTATGTGCCTGCCCTGAAATCTATGAAAAAAATCAAATAATTAGAAACAAATAGTGCCTAGAATTTTTCCATTACTGCACTTAGATAAAAGCTTTTGCCTTTGGTGTAGGGTATCAGATTCAGGGCCTCACTTACAATAAACAAGCACTTTATTATTTTTTTTAATTAATTAATTTATTTATTATGTATATAATATTCTGTGTGTATGCCTGCAGGCCAGAAGAGGGCACCAGACCCCATTATAGATGGTTGTGAGCCACCATGTGGTTGCTGGGAATTGAACTCAGGACCTTTGGAAGAGCAGGCAATGCTCTTAACCTCTGAGCCATCTCTCCAGCCCCCCAAACAAGCACTTTATCACTGGGGTCCACTACCGGTCCCAAATGCTCATTTTTGCTGTAAAAAGGAAGAAGACACAGTCTACGGTGTTAACTTCATTTCAAAGAGCCCTTTCTCATTCAGTGCTATCTAGTAAGCAGTAGTAAACTGATTAAAACGTGGCTTTGACAACAGTTATCGTAGATCAAGCAAGTGGCCTTTAGACTCATGCACACTTTTGTGAATCTGATAGAGAAAATTAACTTTGGAAAAAAGTCAAGAAAACACAATGAGCCTCCACTTTGATCTAGTTTGTGTTTTGATCTAGTTTGACACTAATTGTTTGTGTTTCCTTTTCTTTCTTCTTCCCCCTCCCCCAGATGGTTTGAAAAGTGATGAGGGTTAGGTTTTCTTTGATGATTTTTGTGATTTCAAGTTTCCAATTTGTCATTCTGAGTCTGGCTTCTTGGATCATTTGGAGCAATCAGGGGTGTGGAGCTCTCAAGGATGTTGGTGGGGTTGACTATTTCCCACCTGCATCAACATGATGCTGAAGCACAGCCCTCTGCTCCTCTGCCAAGAGAAGCAGTGAAATTCATTTAATTCAGATGGATTGGAACATTGTATTACCAGCTTGAAGCGAATAGTGGATGGGAGTGTGTATGTGTGTGTGTGTGTGTACATGTATATGTTTTGTATGCTTATATAACAAAAAGAATGGGCAATATTCTGTTGAACAATTTAGAGAAATGCTGTGGGATAATGCTCTTGTGCACTGTAAAAATTTGTCACTCATATGGTTCAATAAGACACTGATTGGCTAGTAGCCAGGAAGTATAGGTGTGGCTACCAAACTAGGAAAATTCTGAGAAGAGGAAGGGCAGAGATGCAGTCACCAGCCAGACACAGATGAAGCAAGATGAGAATGCCTCACTGAGAAAAGGCTCCAAGCATAAACATAGATAAGAATTATGTGTTAATTTAAGTTGTAAGAGCTAGTTAGTAATAAGTCTGAGTAATAGGTCAAACAGTTTATAATTAATATAAGCCTCTGAGTGTTTATTTGGGACTGAACAGCTATGGGACTGGGCAGGACAGAAACTTCCGTCTACAGAGAAATAAATTTCTATCTCTAAATTTACAAGATCTGTGACACAGTGTTTGGATGGTGCTTCAGACATGGGAATTCCATCCATGTTATCTGTCACTTACAGAAGTCAAAGAGCAGAGACAGCAAGTACATTTTAAACCCGACAGCAAACTGAGAAGACAAAAGACTGGTATCCTAGAGATTTGCCTTATGTCTTATGCAGCTAATGAATTATATGGGGGAAGGAAGACTGTCAATCATTCTGGAGTTCAGTCCTGTGGTTGACCACTGGTCAAGTGGTCAGCCACATTTTCAGGACTATGACATGTCTACTGTCATCTCTCAGTATCACCACTTGTACTCGTATCTCATTTTGAGATGTTTGAGCTCAGGCACTTTCTGAATCACTAAATCATATTAGTTTCTGCTGGTATCAGACTTGTATTCATCAGGAACATTGAGGCAGAGATGGGCGTTAAGATAGAACAAATGGGCCATTAACGGTGTGTGCATGTTCAGCTAGTCAGGTAGTTGGCTTTGGCTCCTTTAAGATACGGACTCCAAGCATGTCTTTATAGCATACAGATGGCAGTGTTCCTAGGCCATCCTCCTGTCTGCTATTGTTTAGAACCCTAAGTATCAAAGCAATAAAATTAATCTTAGCTATTTTCTTAAAAATTAACAAAAAAAGTAGAGAAATGTTCACTAGAAAGTTTAAATTATATCTTGATTAGTTAATTGATTAATTACTATGCTGGAGTCAAACCTAAGGCCTTAACCATGCCGGGCAGGCACTCTATCACACAGCCTTATCACTAGCTCTGGTGTTCATCTTCTTCCTTGGGAGGAAGTGGGAAGATGGTTCCTTCTTCCTTCTTCCTTGGGAAGATGGTTAGGGGAATGATCAGGATCACAGGGACAGCACCCAGACCATGTGCCCTCAGGCTACCATGGTGTATAACAAAGGCCATTTGGGTGTTTCTAAGATAGAGGACAAATGTTTCTACCAACTCTGTGGCCACCATGTGGAGTCAACTGTCTCTCTGGCTCTAAGTGCCTTTCCTTCTTCAGGTTTTTGGACACACTGCCAAGAATGCTAGTTTCCCACCGAATATTAATCATAGTTCATTGCCCAGCCGAAAAGGGCTCCTATTCATATCAGACACACGTGAGGGGTTTAAGCACTGAAGACCAGGCAGAATGAACAAATGATTTGTGTGGAGGCGTTCTGTCCTGTTTTTCGCTGTGGTCCAAGCTCCATCAAGTACAGCATTGTTTGGTGGCGTTACTAGGAAACCGTCCGCTTCTTTCTATTTGATCTCCCCTCCTAGTAAAATATTGGGAAAGAGTTACACACAGAACTGAGCACACCGCTGGCAGGTGCCCACAGTGCCTGCCTAGAAGGGATTATTACTAACCGAAAGCTGGTGGGCACATGGAGGGCTCTGTACTGTGAGGAGACTGTTGGAGGCTTTGGAGGAAAGAGAAGAAGGCTAGAGCAGCATTGTTAGAAGATGAGAGGTGGAGCCAAGGCCAGCAGGAGTTTGACAGTCCTTTCTCCACACAGTCAGCCCATTTGTCCTCTACTCCGTATCAAGGAAATGTTCAATGTCCTGGGGGAGCCAAGCTGAATTTCTACTTATAATGACGCTTTTGCTTAGTTAGGGGCATGCTGATAAAACCTAGTCACAGTACAGTTTTCTAGGGCTGAGAGATAGGTTTGGACTATCGCTAACCACATAGATCTCCTGTTATCATAAATAGGCCAAGTCAGTTACTTACAGTAAAGATTATTACCAAGAAATAACATCAGGAGCCTCTTCAGCT